AGGTGGGGGAAGCAGTGGCAGGACCAGGAATAGCGCACTGGAGGGGGGTGTGGGAGCTGCACGACCCCCTGGGGCCAAGGCAGCTTTCCTGTATCCTCCTGGAGGCCTTTGCAGTTTGAAGTCTCCTTAGATCAGCCTGACAGCTGAGGTTCTTCTGCTTGAGGCTGTGTCTGTGATGTCGCTCATGGTAAACTGCTCCTGAGTCTAGCTCTGAAGCCAGCACACAAGACTGAAAGCAGCCCCTCAGTGCCCTTCACATTCCTCCTGAGCTCCTCTCCCACAGATGTGGGTGTGCGTGGGGGGGCTTGGCCAGCACCCTGCCCATCCCAGGATCCTGGGGGTCCTGCATCATTGCCTGGTCTCAGAGATCCCCTGGCCACCCTGTCTCCACCCAGGGTGTCCTCTTGGGCCCAGACCTCCAGCCCGAGTCCTCCCCAAGAAGACAAATGGGCATGTCCAGGACCTGAAGGGGCAGAGATGCGGCCATCCCAGTGGGGCCACACTCAGTGAGCTCACGGGGTTCACCCCCAGTCACAGAGCAGCAGTGTCCTGCCCAGGGGTCACAACTGGATCCCTGCCAACACCCCACTTCTGCCTCCTTCCTCTTCCTCATAGTTGCGGGCCTTGGGCAGGGTCGCCAGTATACCCTGTTCCTCCTGCGTGAGGGCCTTCTCTTGGGTCAATATTGACCTGGCTCCTGATGCACTTCCTTCTGCCCTGGCGGGGAGGCTCGCTGCTGCCTACGCAGGTTTTGTTGTGTGGGCTCAGAGTGACAGAGACGGAGGAGCTGACCCTCGTGGCTTCAGCAAAGACTGAGATTCTGGTTTTTCAGAGCCGTATCCCCTTCTGGCAACAAGCTGGCAGTCGGCAGTGCCACATCTCAGACGCTGACTCCATCTCGGGCACAATCTTCTGTCGCCTGGACTCTCCCGTGGGGTCTCACCGGGACCCACTGCTCCAAGTGGCTGTGGAAACTGACAGCAGCTGTGGAAACATCACAAGCAGTCAGTTCCAGCTACCTGTGTCAGCTGGCCTTGGGAGGGTCCTATGGCCCCTTGAACAGAAGGTACAGCTGGCAGTGTTTCCCTGAATGGAATGGTTTGGGGCTGTGTGGACAGTGTCACCCTCCCCAGCCAGAAGACCTGCCTGAGGTGACCTGGCAGTTCTAGGTGGGTCTGCACATTCTTCCCCCAATCCCTCCCATGCCTGGAGCCCCTCAGGAGTGGAAGTTTCCCCCTTATGAGCACACTGTGCTGCCTCCATGCACCAGGTTGGGAGCAGCCCCTGCCAGTTGAGGGTGGGAGTCGGTGGGTCAGACCCTGGGGCACCCCAGCCTAGACTGCAGACCCAGGCCCACCACATCAGAGAGGTACTTGCAGCATCCCAGGTGTGGCCCGGTGAAGCTGACTCAACAGGGTTTAATAGGAATCCCTTTCACTTCCCCCGTTCCACGGGCACCAGGCCCCCCTTTCTTGGGGGGTAGGCATTCCTCTTTCCAGGTGGGCCATACCCAGTTGCCTGCAAACCAACTCTGATGGACTTCTGGCCACACCACAGAGCAACCCAGAGATGGCACCATGGAGCCTTACCCACCTGCATAACTGACCCTTGTCCAATGGGGAGGACCCAGGACCTTCAAGGATGTCCTGCCATGGTGGTGGCAGCCAGTTGCTCCTAAGGTATTGAAGAGCAGATCCACAGAGGATGACCCAGAACCCCCAGTATGGTCTCATAGGAGGCATGCATTTTCCCTTACTGACATCACTTTGACCCAAGTGATTCTTCAGGCAGGTTTCCCGGCCTGCCCTGCCTGTTCTCAGTGGCAGAGAATGCCTGTGTCCATGTGCAGTGACTGCGGCCTCAAAAGGTCTCTCTGTGATCCTTGGGGGGCATTTGCGGGGGCAAGTGTGTGCTCGTTTGTTACACCACAGATGGATGGATGGGGAAATGAATGGGCGTAGGGGTGGATGGGTGATTGGATGGATGCGGAAATGGAAGGATAGAGGGGTGGGTGGGCCTTGGGGTCTGATGGAGGGGTGGGTGAATGAGTCAACAGAGGGGAGTGGGGGCGTCAGGTGCTGCACAGACAGTGCTTCTAATGTTGCTTTTGCTGTGGTCACTTGCTGTGGTCACTCCTGGGAGGCATCTTATTACTAAAGCTCTGCAAGGTGGTAAGTTATGAATAAGAAACTGGGGCCCCAAAGGGGTGTGCCTTGTCCAGGATCATTGAGACTCAGAATGCCACATCCTTCACCCTAAACCCTGGCCTGCCCCCCGGACCCTGGCCTGACCCAGGCCGTCTGCCTGATGGACGTGGGCCTTGTTTGGTGGTCCCGAGGCAGGCCTCCCCCTTGGTGACCTTTGGCCCCCTCCCGGAGCCTACATGTGGCTATCTGGCCATGTAGGCAGGCTCTGTGTCACGGTGCTCTCTGTGACCGACTACCCGGGTGCACTCAGGAGTTGGCCTGGGCCTTCTGGGGGAGGAATAGTAAGGTGGGAGGTGGCCCATGGTTGGGGAGGGATGGCCCAATGTTTGTGCTGCACCCTGTTGCCCAGCTCCCAATCCCCAACCCCCACTTTCCTGACACACACACAAGGATGAAGAACATCAAGAGTGGCGCCCTGTGGGTCTGAGGGTGCTGACAGAGCCAGGAGTCTTTGCTTCCTCCTTTGGGGTCCCTCTGGCTTCCTTAGGACACCAGCATTCCCAATCCAGCCAGCAGGCCTCAGGTGCTTCTAATGCTGGCTCTCCCCTCACTCGAACTCTTTCTTCTCACATCTGGGACTCAGCACCTTCCCAGGTCTTAGGAAGCCATGAAGACCCCGGGTCTCCCCCTGTGTCCCTGTCCTGCTCAGGCCTTGGGGTCTTGCCCTGGAAGTTTGGTTCCTGAATGAGAAGGAAGGCCTGGGCTTCAGGTGATGCGGGTGGCACAGGTCTCAGGACTGGTTTTTGTGGAAGGCATTTAAGAAAAGTGTTGTTTCCACAGAGCCAATCTGGATAAGGACCGGGCTCACAGCAGACCTCTTCCTCCTCTCCCGTGTCTTCTACAGCTTTCCTCTCCCGCCCCCGGAGCCTACCCGAGGGCAGCCAGCCTCTCCCCACCCAGTCCTTGCCCAAGCCCTGGGAGGCCCTGCACTGCCTCTCTCAAAGGTGTGCTTCTCAGCGCTTAAATGTCAGTCCAACACTTCACCCTTCTCAAAACTTCCTCATGCCCTGAAAACAAGAAACAAACTCCTAATTGGGTACTCTTAGGCCCCATAGGACGGACCCTGCTGCCTTTCCTTCTCACCTCCTACTGCACCGGGGCCCTCCCTCCTCCTGACCAGGCCCTTAGCTTAGCCCAGTTTCCTCTTGCACTGAGCTCTGACCCTATGTCTCTCCTACCCTGTCTCAGGGTCGAGGACCATGTGTGCCTCTGAGCAGAGCCCAGGAGTTCTGCCTCCTGACAGGGCTCAAGGCTGAGGGGCAGTGGTGACATCAGGACAGAACAACGGCATGGAGGGGCACCCGAGCATGCCGTTGGCATGGCGCCCTCCTGCCAGAAATAAGTTGGGGTGTGGGACTGGGCAGGAGGGATAGCAGTTGGGTGGGCACCCTGTGAAGGGCTGGGGCAAGAGAAAAGGAGAGGAGGAGAAGGTTGTTAGGGGGCTGGATGGGCTGAGGGACCCCCCGGTGGTGTGTGTGGTTGCCTGGCGGATGCTTGCCACAGATGTCCTCAGTGGCAGTTTCCATTCACAGCTGGAGTCCCCAGGCCGCAGGGAAGTGATGGGGCTGGGCCCTGGGGACAGCGTGCAGCCATGAGACCCCAGCCAGGACCAGAACGATAGTCCTGGCAGCCAGAAGTGGGAGAGCATGGTACCGAGGGAGCATGGCACCGAGGGGTGCTGGTACCCACCACACTTGGGCACGCTTTGGGCTAGGTGACCAGACCAATGTCCTGATGGCTGACACCAGAACAGAGGCCTTCATTTAGGGTCAGGGGTTAAATTCAACCAATGATGTTGTAAAGTGAAAATGTCCAAACCCAATGTAGGAGGTGAAGGGCTTTTCTATATTCACATGCAGATTTGTTACAGAAGCAAAAGCAACAACAACAGCAAACCCACCCTCGCTAGCTGCCTTTGTGGGGAGTTGAAAAATGAGGCTGAGGACAGAAAGGGTCATAGCAGGGGCTACAGGAGGGTGTGCAGGACTCAGAAGAGTGGGAGGCCTGGACAGGGGACACAGGGCCTGTTGCTGGGCTCCTTCTCCCCCCATGAGGTGCCTGTGTGGTCATGCTGACAGCCCTGTCCGGGCCTGGGTCCAGCCCCAAGCTGGGTGCAGGGGTCACTACAGCTGTGTCCCCCCAAGCCCCAGGAAGCCTACTGAGGCAGCATCCAGACAGTGTGACACCCTACCTTGTAGCCCCATGTGCTCACTTGTGAAGGGAAGTTACAAGAATGGGCAGGACTGTGGATGGCAGGCCTGTACTCTTGGGCTGGAGCGCATCATCATGGGCAGGGGTTAGGGTGGGGCCCCAGCTCAGATATCCCTGATCTCAGAGTCCAGGTGCACACTCAACTGAGATGACCCTGGGTGGGTGCGCACTGCACCCTTCTGGTCCTGTCCCACCTCCGTGGTGGGGATGATCAGCTGGGTGGAGGGACCCAGCCTGAACTGTGCTTCCTGACCTCTGGGTCACCGGTGCTCAGGCCTGGGTCAGCATTTGCCTTTGGTAGAAGAGGGCAAAGTGCCCAGTCACTTTAGACCAACACGTTAGTAGCAGGCTCGGGAGTTGGGCAGGGTGCCACCCAGTGGCAGAAGCAGAAGGCGCTCAGCATCCTGGTGCCCTCTGCTGACGGTTTTGGTGAATTGCACAGATGCTTCGGCGATACATGGGGCCAGGCCCAGCTGCTCTTTGCCACCTTTTTCTTCGTGTGGCCTGGCCAGTGACTTCTTGGAGCTGATAATCGGGGAGGAGAAACGGTAAAACAAATCTTCACAGACACTTTAGCTCAAAGACTGGCATCAAATTTATTATTATCTTTTGTTAAATATTTCAGATATTTTGGGAGCACTTCATCTACAAGGGGTGGCAGGTTTTCTTTCCAGTACATTTTTATGTGTGCAGTTATGGGACAGGAGGAGAGGTGACACGAGTGGGTGGAACACACGCGGGGAGGAGTCTTGGCACTGGGCTGTTGTATCCTCGCTGGGTTTCTCGGCTGAGAACAGCTTCTGGATAGCCACTAGTAGACCTGGGACCCATGGCTCACAGCCAGGGGGCATCAGAGGAGTCCACTGGACACGAGAGTCACAGTCACACGTGAATCTGACGTATCCTAAAGGAATGATACACGGGGCGGGGTGGGGGGGCAAGCCCCTGCTCGCTGCTCGGCTGCCTGTCCTGCAAGCGCCTAGTGGGTTGGGATGGGTGTCAGTCTCTGAAGTGAGGTGAGGGTCTTTCTCCTACTCATATTAGGGGTGGCTGGGCATTGTGAGCTGGCTGGGAGGAGTGGGCTGGGCAGAATGGCTCTGGCCTCCAGTGGGTGTTTAGCTGGTCCCCTGTGAGGACAGACGCTTGACCTTCTGGGGCCAGACATGCATAGACGAAGGGGCAGAAGTCAGGATACCACAAGAATGTCCACTGACTGCCTTGTGGCACACAGCAACACTGGGTGGGTCCTTTGGCCCCAAAGCCATCCTCAGTGGACTCTACAGTTCACCTCTCATAAGAATGTTAATGCTTGGGAGGATCCTGGAATGGCAAAGCCAGGTCCTGGAGGAAAGAACCAGGTGCTTCTCAAACAGAGCAGCTGGAGACCACAAGCTGGTTCTTTCCATTCTGGAAGATGGAAGGCGGGGGGCCTTCTTGAGAGAGAGGTGGCAACAGCAGAGTCTGTATCCAAGTTGGGGGTCAGAGGCAAGAAAGACCTAGATTCAGAAAGATCTTCTGAACTCCTTTCAGACTGAAAAGTAAATTCTTCACAGTGGCTCAAATGGTCTCTGAAGTTCTAGTGAAAAGTATTTGTTGAATAGTTCTCTCAATGCCCGAGAGAAGGCTCTGTGTCTGGCAGGCACTGTAGAGATGGCTGCCCCAAGATGTCACCTGTTTGGACACGTTTAAGAGAGGCCCCCTGCCCCTGCAACTCTGAGACAGAAATATGGGCACCCTCTCTTCAGTCATCGAGAAGCAGCTGAAGAAAGCCATGCCCCTTGGGGAGGAGACGGTGTATTGGGGAACAGGATGTGGGGCAAGGGCTGAGAGACCACCTCCATCATTGGGTGACTCTCAGATCTCATAATCCTCATCAGAAAAAGGGGGTCACATCACCACCCAATGTGATGGGAGGAGGTAAACAAAAAGGCAGACCCGGTGGGAGTGCCCCACACTGGGCTGACTTCTCTGGCATCTGAATTTGAAGGGAGAAGGGCCCCAAGGGTTGGCTTGGGGCCCCAGGCAGGTGTGTGATGGATTTCAGGCGAGCACTGGAGACTGGGTTTCTCTTCCCAGCCAGGAAGGAGAGAGAGAGGAGAAAACACCGCTCACCCCAGCTAAAAGAGATGAGGTCCCAGCCTGGCCTCCTGCTGCTGCTCCCACCAGGCGCTGCCCCCACCTGCCACCTGAGCCCAGGGTCGGGGGCCTCTCCAGAGCAGCCTCAGTAGCTGCTGTCTGGGAAGAAGGATGTGTGGGTGGCCAGGCTGAGGTCGCCCTGCTCGCGGGGCCCCGACAGCTCCCCATACTCGCTGTTGTAGAACACCTGTCCCCCTTTTGATTCCCGGTCCAGCCGCCGCCTCCCTTGGGAGTCAGGGTGTGCCCTGGTCTCTTCCACCTTCTGGCTGGGTCCTTTACAGCTGCCAAGACAGGGATGGTGGGGTCAGTACGAAGAGAACGAGGAACGGGATGGGCAGGGGTCTGGGTGCGACTGGGGTCACAATGCATGTGTTCTGTGAGCTCAGGGACAACGGGAGGCACAGATTCGACTTCAGCAGCAAACCAGACTGACAGGACTATTGGCAAACACTCCCTGGAGCGCGCACCAACCCAAGCCTGGGCTGGGGGCCACTGGGAGGCATCCCCTTCATGCCCCCAAGACTCTCTCTCCTAGTCTTGCCCATCTCAGTAAATGGCGCCGGCACTGATTTATTTCATGGCCCAAGCACTCAGGCAGTGTCCTTGCGTCCGCCCTTCCCTTCCCCTCACGTTCAATTCACCCAGCCGGCCTGCCTCTCCTACCTGCAAAACACATCCCTGGCCTTCTCGTCTCCCAGCCCTGTGTGAGAGCCACCATCACGCAGACTGCACTCTCCTGCTCGCAGGCCACCCTCCAGGTGCACCATGTCCCTCTCCCTCTGACAGACCCTTCAAAGGCCTCCACAGAGGAAATGCCACCCCACGAGGCATGGGGTCTGCATCCCGAGGGGCCACTGGAGGTGGGATGAGCCTCTGGAAGAGGGGGTGAGTTTATTCCCCAGGGGTGACCAGTGGTTAACAGGAGACAGGGAAGGCCTGGGCAGATAATCACCCTTCTTCTCTCCTATCAACATCTCCAAGGTACATTTTATCCTCCAGCCATCACCCTGGGTGCAGCAGGCCCAAACGCCAGGTCGCCCACAAGGACTCCCTATCATTCTCCACGACCTCTCGGCATCCCCTCTGGCCTGTGTGGCCCTGCCGGCTCCAGCCCCTGCCTCTCCCAGCCCCAGGATGCACTGCTCTTTCTGTCATTTTGCTTTGCAAGGTGTTGCTGAAAAGCCTGATGCCCACTTGACTCTCTTTTTCTTAAGTGACTTGGTCTTTTCGGCCTAAATTCCCAGAACGTTTATCTTGACAGCCTGGCAGTTGGACCCGACAGGCTCAGAGCTCACTCTTCTGGGCTGGTCTCCCAGGCATTCTTCCTTTGTGTCCGCCCAGGTTTGCTTTCATTGAACAGGATTACCTTGATGTTTAAAATATTAATTTGAGTCCATTGTTGGCATTTTCTTGCTCAGAGGTTCCAGTCACATGTGGATTGCATCTTTTCCACTCAGCTCTGCCCTTTTCTTCCTGCTCTCCCCTTCCCCTTGGTTTGTTTGGTTTGACTGGCGCTCCACACCAGCCTCTGGCCCTGCACTGCAGGTCCTCCCAGCCTCTGCAACTGGTCCTCCTTTGGGAGAATCTGTCGTCTGTTTCAGTTCATTTCCTGAATTTAGTTAGCTTCCATTTTTATTTTCTTGCTGTTCATTTCTATGCTGGATTTTTAAATTTCTGATTCATGGTGCTGCTGCTTATTGAATTATATGTTTAATTCTTGGTGGAGTTTATCACAACTTTACTCTTCTTTTGTTTACACCTACTAAAAGGTGTTTTTTTTTTTTTAAAGATTTATTTATTCATTTATACAAGCACTGGGTACAGTCAGAAGCGCGGGAGGGTGAGAGAATTCACCAGAGTCAGAGGGCAGAGCAGAGCAGGCAGACCGACGAAGTACACTGCTGAGGGGAGCAGCGGGCGCATTCTAATTTTGTTTCCATTTCTACAATAGCTTTGTGTGGATAGTGCTCATCTTTTTCTGTTCAGGATCATTCATGCTGGGATTTCCTAGGCCAGAAAGAGCAGACCACCCCACCGAAGGGCGAAGAGGGAGGGTGGCTCCCTGGGTGCCTTCCTGCAACAGTGCTGCATCGCATCCATGTCTTTGGTGTCACCGAATTCCTTCAGCGACATCCCAAAGGCTGTCTTCATGCCCTGTGTTGCATCGAGACCAGGGACCCCCAGTCAGCTGGGAGTGCACTGGCCTCTGGTGCTACCACCCTGCAGCACCTGACCACAAACACCCCCATGGATGCGCGCCCCCCCCAGTGGCAAACAGAACACAGGACAGGTCTGGCATGATAAGCACCTCCTTCCATTCTCCCCTCCTCCGGCCCCCTCTCCCCACAGACTCTGTGGGCACACTCTGTCCTTGCACCTGCCTGGGGAATGACTCATATGCCCTGAATGCACCTGCCCGGTGAGCTGCAGACCTGCTCGTGCCTGTGTCAAGAACAGTGGCACGGGCTCCCTGTCACGGCTGTCGTGAGCTGCAGCTTCTGTAATGAAACCAGTCCTTGGGGGTGTCTGTCTTCTGGATTCTTGATGCCGTTTTGCTTCTGTAGGACTCTGATCTGCGATTTTCTTCCTTCACCACCAAGCATCTAAGGTGCACTCAGTCTTTCTGCTCACCACCTTTTAGAGGCAGTGCCTTTCCAAGATGGTGGCCCAGGGCCTCAGACTCACCCTGGAGTCTTGCTCTTCCCGCCAGGTCTCAGCTTCCTTCTCACAGCCCCCAGCTTATGTGGCCACTGTTCCTGACTCACAGGGCAGGCTGGCTCTCCTGCTGCCCAATAAGACCCGGCCCTGCCCACTGGGGCTGAGTCCTAGCTCACACCTGCGCCGGGGCCTCTCTCTCCTGTCACAGGCTGGGCTCTGTGCACCTTCGTCCACTTCCTTGAGGCTCTGTGTTGCTTCAGAAAGGTGTGTGGATATTTGGATTTATGTAGCTAGCATGCTCTGGCTCACGCTTTTGCTGATTTTTTAAAGAAATAAAACACTCTTTGGCAAGGAAACAGCCAGAAACTGCTCTGTCAATGGAAACAGCACTCGTTTTCCAAAACTGGGCTACCAACAGAGGTCCCCTGACACAATCAATAAAAACAGAGGGAGTGGGAAAGCCAGACACACTGCCTGCGTCGCTGGGAGACACCCAGCTGCTGAGTGGTAGAGGCCACAGCTACACCCACAAGAAAGCTGAAAACAGCCTCAACTGTCCAGATGTGATGCAAATAAATACCTGAGGCTTAGAGTAAATTATTCAGTCACAATATCCAATAGTGACTCAAAATCGGCACAGGCAGAAGTCAACATCTGCTCTGGGAAACTGCGTCAGCTGGTCAGCCCCAACGGGGCCAACTGAGATGAGGCTGTCCTGGGTGCGTGAGATTGTTATGGGATGTCATATGACACTGTGGGCCTGGCCAGCCTAACAGGTGTAAGTCAACTAGTGAAATGAGCAAGCAGACATTTAACTATTTTACCTATGCCCTTAAAAATTTAAATATATAGGTTTTTGGGTGGGCTATCTACTTGGGCAAATGGAGGGCATCTGCCACCCAGGTCACCTTTTGTATGGGCACACGAACTATTTCCCTTTAACCACCTGTTTATTAAAATAGGACACCGGCCTGCTCTGGGTCATGTGGTCTGTGTGATTCCTTAGCCGTGGGGCCAAGGGACGGTGGTGGCCTCCCTGTGCTGGGGAGATGTGTGTGCATGTGTGGGCAGGTGCACACAGCTTCACAAAGAGGTGGAATCTGAATATCTGTCACTGGGGAGGGAGGTGTGGGGTCCAGAACAAGGTACTGCTGGGGCAGGACCGTGATTAGAGGAGGGGTTCCTTTGGGAAGCCTTGAGGCCTAGAGAGGCTTGCCCTGAACACACATAAAGACAAGAGGGAGCCATGAAAAGTTTCAGGTAGGAGAGTGACAGGCACACCAAGTCCCAGCTACCCTCTGTGGCCCCTCGCAGGGGCCAGGCTGGAGGGGTCCTACCTGAGCCCTCCTTCTTGTCTGTGCCTGCTCTCCAGCCGCTCAAACTCCTCTGAGGCCAGCACCATCCCACTGTCTGTCTGGTTGTCCTGTGTGGGGAGAACAAGTCAAGGACGCGGGCCTCCTCAGGCCTGCCTTGGAGCGGCTGTCCTGAAGCCTATCTCAGAGGCTGTCATACGTGACCTGTGACCTAACACCTGTCCTGTGAACCAAGTCTGAAATGGGTCTGCTCTGCCACCAGAGTACATGGAGGGGGTAACTGAGGTTAGTGGGTGGCAGGGCCACTACGCCTGGTCTGCACTCAAGAAGGGGCAAAACTGGGGGACCTGCAAGGTGACCCAGGGCCCAGCACTATCACTGGGGAAAGCAAGAAGCTATCAAAAGAATCTGGGTACTCAGAGCTTAGCCTGATACATCCAGGTTTCACGTGGCTTTGTCCACAGGTGGTTATGTGTGACTCAGTGAGGTAGACACCTGGAATTCCTTGGTGGGCAAGTGCACTCTGTGGGCTTGGGGCCTCTGGCCTGGGGACACAGCCCTGGTCTGTGTGGCTCTGGCCCAGGGCTCCCATTGCCCTGCCTTGTGGGCCGGCTCTATCTGAGAGACCTCCTATGGACCTGAAGGCTCCAGATTGTGTGCCACTGAATTTGGTGGGGAGGCTCAGTCTGTGCTTCTACCAAGTGGACACGTTCTGTTGCATTCTGCTCGAGGATGAAGGCTGTACCTGTGCCCCCTCCTCCTCCTCCAGTGACACAGGCTCCACTCGGGCCACATGGCTGAGCCCTGACTCTGATCTGAGGCCCACTGGGAGGAGGAGATGTGTCCACTGGGGTTTCTATGCTGCCGAGAGAGGGGCTGCAGGGAGGGAAGCCCTGTGTGAGTGACAAAGACGCCAGAAAAAGTAGTAGCGAGTTAGGGCATCATGCCAGCTCTCAGGCCCCAGTCAGCCCAAGACTTCATATCTCAGGGAGTAGTGGGTGCCCTTCCTGTTGTAGCTGGTCTGAGCTGGTTTCTGTTGCTTGTTTCAGGAGTTCTTGATGTCTTCCTAGCCCCAGAGCCCACACAGCACCCCCTCACTTACCACCGAGGTCTTGTAGGTTGTCGGGGTCATGGGAAATTCTTCAAACGTTTTCATCCTGGAGGCACCCGGTGTCTGAGTCCCTCTGGCCAGGCACCCCGGAAAGGACACACAGTTATAATATCTGGGGAGAAAAAGGAAAGTGTTGAAGAAAAGCATGTACCACAGCACCCTTCTGAAAGTGCTGTCCACCTCTCCTGCTGCCCCTTCTCTTCCAGGGAAAGCCCCAGGCCTGGCATGTGAGTATGGGTCTGAGTGAGGGTCTAGGCTCCGCCGTGTCTGCTGCCATGAGCTGTGTCTCCTCTCCAGTGCGAGGACTGAAACTCCCGAGGCCACAGCTGGGAGGGTGTGAAGGTTTGAGTGGAGAATTCTCAGTCTAGGGTGACCTGTCTCTCACCAGCCTTTACCCTAAGAGGGGGTACCCGAGCAAGACAGGAAGTCCTGGTGCCACAAGCCACTGCCTGGCCTGTGTGTGTGTGTGTGTGTGTGTGTGTGTGTGAATGTACACACGTGTTCATACACATGTGTATTTGTGTATGCACTCACACACACATGAGTGTATATGTGTGTTGGGGGGTCGGTGGAAGAAGCCTGGCCTACCCTAAGGTGGATGTGGCAGGGTCTCTCCAGTGGGAATGTGGACAGCACAGCCTTCCAGGACAGTGAACAACCATGGGCAAGACCCAAAATAGATTGCCTAGACTGCTCTAAGTCCTGAATGCAAATTAAGGGGGTGGCCTGTTCTGCTCCCAGGGTCCCTGCTGGTGGCTCTTGGGACTCAGCACCTCACCCTGCTGCAGTCTCCTTTCTCTCCCTGCGATGTGGAGCTGGCTAGGGCACAGTGCCCAGCATGGGCACTCCCTTAAAACTGGGGGGAGAGGATTTCAGGGGCTAGGAGTACAGGCAAACAGAGGTCAGAGGGCAGAGAGGAGGACAGAAGAGGTGCAGAGAAGAAAAGCAAGGTCAAAGGACCATGTGACCTTGGAGGATCCCAAGAGGCCCCCAGGGCACCCCCTACACCAGCACTGCAATTTACAATCACGTCACTCTGAGCAGGTGTATAGTTGGTCTCAAGTCTTGCTAATTTGATTTTCCGGATGAGTGATGAGGATAAAACATACAACATCCAAACTTCTTCCTTCCTGAGGGCTGGGGGAGCCCTGGGCCTGGGAGGGTGACTGACCTGGCAGCCAGGCTGTGCCGGTGCAGGCTGGGTGGGCTGTCGTCAGCATCAGCATCGGCCTCGGCGACATGCAGGGCAGTGGTGGATGCCTGCAAGAAGCTGCCCTCCTCCAAGCTCTGAGAGCCACAGGGGGCCATGCAGTTGTCGTCCTCCTGGGAGGAGTGGAGAGGTAGCCGGGGTCAGAGGCCATAGAGGCCCCGTCAGCCCCCACCTGGCACGCATGACTGCAGGTGTCCTGCCCCTTGAAGTGCTGTTCTGTGAGCTTGCCGAGGGGCAATTGAGCCTGCCTGGCTAATTCTCCCCACTGCCCTCCCAGAGGCCAGGTGTGTGGAGGTGGCAGCCATGGCAGTTCTCTCAGCCTCAGCAATCAACACCAGCACCTTTCACTCTCTTCCTGGGGCAGAACTGGCCCTAAAGAGCCCATCCCCAGCTCCTGAGGCCCAGGCAGCAGCTGCTCCCAGCTTCCTACTCTGGACTCCAGAGTTCCGGCATGGCCCTGGGCTGGCTTAGAGGGGTAAGCCACCATGGGGAGCACAGAGTGGGGAGGGAGACCCAAGTCAATGGTGGGGACAGGCGGTGGAGGGCAGAGGCACAGAGAGGAAGAGGGAGGTGAAGGGTGGTATCATTTTCTATGGGAGACAGGAGCTGCCTTGTGGGACCTTTGAGGGCCAGCCGGGCTCGTTGTAGGCAAAGACGGGCTCTGACCATGGGCACAAAGGCCCCAGACCGGGCAGAGGTTGCATGCAACAGGGCAGGGTGGAATGGGGCTCACCTGCCAGCCCCCACCCTGGAGCAGGTCCCCCAGGATCTCCACCAGCTCAGAGAATGAAGGCCTCTCTTTAGGGTCTCCGGACCAGCAGCTCAGCATGACACGGCGTCTGCAGGTAAAGTGGCAGCTGGTCTGTGGCCTGAGCCTGCCGCCACCCTGTACCAGCAGACCCCAGCACCCCTGTCTAACTTTGGTCTCTCATGCACTCTGTGCCCCGTGGCTCCCAGGGCTCAAGTATCTCCTGCCTGGAGGAGATGGAGGGGGTGGATGAGCAGCTGGGTCAGTGGAGAAGACCGGAGAAAACCCTCCTGCCCCTCTGACTCTTGCTTCCCCCTCACTTCCCATGCCTGCACACAATACCCCTTCCATGCCCACCCAAATCTACAGCCCCCCAACACCTGCATGGTCAGCTGGCCGGGAGACTTACATGGCAGGAGAGGCCAGCTCTGGGGCCCTCATCCGGGTACCCTCTTTCAGCCGCTGGCAGAACTCCTCATTGATCTGTACCCCTGGGTATGGGGAGGCACCTGAAGGCAGGAACAGGATGGGGTGGGTTGGGGGTGATGCTCAGCCCAGGCTCCTGAATCACCCTTGCTCTGGGTCCCCCCACGGTAGGACACTTTGTCCATCCTCCTCTGGGGATGCCTTGGTAAGTCACTCTCCTCCCCCAGCACTCATCAATTTGTTAACATGGAAGACAGATGAGCAGGATTGGGGGAGCCACATAGGCCAGCTGAGGTTGTGCCCGCTCCTACTCCTCACACAGCTCCTACGGGCCTCTCATCTCCCTCTGTTCCTGTGGGCTAGTCACAGAGCAGCAGGGGACAGAGAAACCCTTTTAAGACAAGTGTCAGAATGCTCTCCCCACTCAGAGTCCCGCTCGGCTCCCATCACACTTAAATTCCAGGTCCTCACACCCCAGGTCCACAGGGGCTGCGGGGACCACCTCTCCTGCCTCTGGTGGCAACTCTTGACACTGCGCTGCCTGGGACCAGGGACCTGGTTGCCCCTGGCCCTGGACCATTGTCTTCCTGGGCCCACAGACCCACCTCCTTCATCAGCCAGGGCCCTTCAGGCCTCAGCTCACACACAGCCCACCCCCTCCCAAAGGTGCTCTACAAGCTCCTTTATTCTTAGTATTATCAGTGCTGTCATTAGATGCCTTCACTTCTCTTGTCTGTAGCCTCAGCCCACCCTAGTGTGGGGACTTCATCTCCGTTCCAGTGGGCCCAGGTTTCCACATGGGATGCACATAAGGAGGTGCAGTGGCTGAGCGAGCCCCCGGCTTCTCCCCTGCACGGTGAAGGCAGGAGCAGCATCCCCACAGCAGGTGGAGAAGGGGCTCAGCCAGGGAAAGGGAGGCCTGGTGGGGATCCCCAGTAAGCACAGGGCTCTGCCCCAGCACAGGCGGGCACTTGCTGCCCTCCAGAGGTGGTGTCAGGGCGGCTCACGCTGGAGGCGTAGGGCAGAGGAGGGGGCTCTCACACTACCTGCTTCAGGATGGCTTGGGCAGCCACGACAGCTCCCCTGCACCACAGGGGCTGATGGGGTGACCTGGAACAGTGTTCTGGTCCCCCCTGACCCTGTCTTACACTCACCCAGGGAGAAGATCTCCCAGAGAAGCACCCCAAAGGACCACACGTCACTCTGTGTAGTGTACACCTTGTCGAAGATGCTCTCGGGTGCCATCCACTTCAGCGGCAGCCGGGCCTGCGAGGCAGAGGGAAGTGTGCTGCCACTGGGGGAGAGACGGACCAGGCCAAACCCTTGGGCTCTGCCCTCCATTCCCAGTCTTGCGAGGACTCTGGAGCCATGCCCCAAGAAAGGTTTCTGGGCCACACTCACCTCCATGTTCAGATGGCTCTTACGGTTTTCTGCTATTCCCCTTTCCCCTCCCCTTTGGCTATTCTCAGGTTCCTCCTCTTCTCTGTGCTCTCCCGGGGAGCACTCATTCCCCTCCTACAGCTCCAGACCCTCAGTGGTCCAGCTCCCCAGGAACCAGGTCCCTGCATACCTCACCAGCCCCAAAGCAGCCCACCAAGTGGGCCCCACCCTGGAAGCTTGCTGCCACTCTTGATCCTCCCCTGGCTCCCGCTGCCTCCTGCATTCTGTCTCGCTCCCTCCAGTGGCCTCTACCTGGGGGCCCTGGGGACTGTGACCCTTCCTGACTGGGCTCTGCCAGCACCCCAGCACACCTGTCCCACTCTTCACGGTCTGCAGGGGGGCTTTTGGAATGTACACCTGACCTCATCTTCACATGTCCCCCATACGCCTGTGAGTCAGGATAAAGGACACAAGCCTTCCTCTGGCTCAATGCCTCAGGAGGCCATCAAGGTCCATGTTGATTCAAGTCCTCCGCCTTCCTTGAGTCCTCCATCCTGCTCCTTGACAGAAGGGCCCTGCCTTGGCCCTCCCTCCACAGCCTGTACTCACGCTGCCTTTTCGAACATAGTCAGGGTCTTTGTAGATGTCCCGGGCCAGGCCGAAGTCACAGATCTTTACTATGTCACTTTCAGACAACAAGATGTTCCGAGCAGCCAGGTCTCTGTGGATGCACTAGGGGACAAGGAGGTTTGAGGGGGCGGTCAGTGAAGGCCCCTGGGCCACACCCACATCTGGAACTCCGATTGCCCCACCAGAGAGCTCTGCTCTTTCAGGGACAGATTTCTGTGTACCCCTAGGATTTGCCTTGGAGAGGGCACGTGGAGTTGGGACAGCAGCTTCAGAGTGGGACAGACACCCCTCCCCGCTCCACTGACTAGCCAGAGGCCTTGGGAGGTCACTTCTATCTTTGGGCTCAGTTTCTTTGTCTAAATGGGAGCACATGTCTTGACTGCAGGGTCACTATGAAGTGATTTAGGACTGCACATCTTGGCATGTAGGTGGGTTTGTGTCCTTCTCCCATCTGAAGGGCCTGCCGGGAAGCTCACCTTTCGGGAGGCCAGGAACTCCATCCCTCGGGCCACCTGGAAGCTATAGCAGACAAGATCTTCCATGGTCAGTGGGCTCAGCCACAGGTCCTCGGCTGCACAAAGGACAAGATGAGCTCAGGAAGAGAATGGCTCTGTGGCCCCATCACCCTCAGCCCAACTCCCACAATCCTTCTACTGGCTCTATCACTCTTGGCTGGGCCCCTCAGGCATACATTAAGAACTGTATGAGCTCCATCTCTGCTGGGTGGCCTCCACCTGCTACTACTCCCCCATCTGTAAGGCAAACTCTTACTGAGTCAATGATACTAAAAGCAAATATCAAAAGTCCCTGATATCAAAAGTCCTCACATCCTGAGATACAGTGCATTAAGCCCTCTTACAGGCACGCCTCTCCACAGGGCCTGGACCTGTTTATCCCAGGGTTCCTGCATCCCGAGGCATCATCTTGTCTGCTAGGCTTCTTGGGCAAGGAGAAATCAGGCTCTTACCTTCTTGGACTGGAGGAGTCCTCCCTGTCCCACCCTTGCCCATCAGGAGCCGCACAAGGAGAGCCCTGTCACTGCTTCCAGGCCTCCTCCAGTCAGCCTTGGCGCTCTCCACCATGGCACGGAAGCGCCTTCGCTGCTCCGGGGACTTCTCCTGTGGATGCACACGGTGGGTTCAAAAGGGGGCCGCCACCCACATAGACACCCCCCAGGCCACCTTGTTGACCCACCACCTCTCCCACAGAACTCGGGTCCCTTGGGGGTGCCCACCTACCGCGTAGGGGTTGAAGGTCTCTCGCTTGGCGCGCAAGAAGTTGGAGAGGTTGCCGTACTTGCAGAACTCCACGATCACCATGAGGGGGCCTGAGACAGGGCAGGGCAGAGCAGGAGCCAGGTGCCAGGTGATCCCACCGCTGGGGGCAAGCTTTGCTGCTACATCCGCGCTCCATGCCCTCCCGCCGACGCTCCCCGCCCCGCCTTCTCCTCCCCCCGTCCCCGCCCCGACCGGTCCAAGTCGAGGAGGCCCCTCCCATGCGGGGAACCAAGACGCCCAAGGGTCCGGTTCTTAGCCAGGGCGCCAGAACTCTACCATTCGGCTTGGTGCACGCCCCCAGAAGGTTGACCACGTTGAGGTGGTTTCCGATGTGGATTAGGATCTTGAGCTCCGACATCAGGGCACGGTGCTCGCTGGCCGTGGCGCCCTCTGGAGGGGACACAAGGGCTTCGGACCGTGCCGCACCCCCTGCCTCAGCCCCACTCCCTGTGCAGCCGGGTCACTGGCTGAGTTAAGGCACTGTCAGTGCGGGGGCGGGGTCCCTAACGCGTCCTTCCAGCCCCTCTGGGGCTTGGGGTTCAGGTGCGATTGTTGTTACTGATCCAGGCCCTGCGTGGACTCCAGGGTAGAGCCTTGGGTGAGACCAGGTTCTAAACCTCATTTCCCAGCCTACACCGCCAGCCCACCCAGAGCTGTTCTCACTAGGCCCCCACCCTGTCCACCCCCTTACCCCGCACCTTTCAGCATTTTCACGGCCACAGTATCACAGCTGCTACCCTTGTTGATGCCAAAAGCCGACGCTTCCACCACTTTCCCGAAGGCCCCATGGCCAAGGACCCTCCCTGTGGGGGCAAGGAGCCAGTTCCAGGTGAGCTGTATGGGGGTGAGGGTGGCGGGGGTAGGTGGCAGGGGCAACCTCTGTGGAGGGCCAGGAAGGAAAACCTGGGGGGGGATGTGGAAAGTCGGGAGCCCCTCTGCCAAACAGGAAGAGCGTGGGGAGCGGGAAGAGAGGGAGTGGAGAGGCAGACAGGAAAGCGAGCATCCTCTCCCAGCAGGTGTGATGGGCCCGCCCTGTTCAAAGTAGCAGGAAATGACCTCCAGGGCCTGGGAACTGGGAGCCCTGGTCCTGTTCTAGGGATCCATGCCCAGATGGACAGGTCAGGTTAGGTGGGGGCCAGGCGGGACTTTCTGGCAAGAGTTCTGAGAAGGGAAGGACGTTAAGCACCTCTGCCAGACACGCCTGGGCGGGTGGGGCAGGCTGGGGGCTAGCCTCACCGAGGTGCAGCCGCTCCCTGGGGAACTCCCACTGGCTGGCATCATAGGACAGGTATTCGCACTGCTCCTCCAGAGGCACCGCCCCGGGGTCCATGATGATGGATAGGTAGCCCGTCTTGATGTCCGCGTGGGCTGGCTGGGGTGGGAGGACAGTTCACTGTTGAGTCATACCACCTGGCCTGGGTAAAGCTTTGCCTGGGACAAATGGGCTCTCCTTTGGGACTCTCCAGGAGAGGGTAGGAGACACAGACAACCTCTGGTTGAGGAAGAGCCCAGCATGGAGGGCTAGGGAGGTTTCCTGGGAGATAAGACATCTAGATAGCCTGGGTTGGAACCTTATTCCTATCTCAGGGGGGGCTAGCCAGGGCTGGAGTGACACCCCACTGAGGAGCTGGAGGAAGGCTTTGTCGAGGGAAGAGCGCTCACCCTCCTCATGTTACAGAAAATGAGGAGGAGGAGGACCCAGAAGAAGATGGCGATGACCCCGGTCCCGACAAGGATCACGATCTCCATGCTGCCTTTATCCTCCGAACCTGAGTGGACAGAAAGGGGTTAGTGTGTGTGTGGGGTCACGACTTGCGAATGGTGGCCACTAGAAGGTGCTGAATGTGGGCAGGAGTTGGGTGGTGGGTGCCACGGGTGGCAGACCTTCCACTGCCACGCTGGCGGAGGAGTTGACGCAGCCCTTGGCGTTGCACACGCTGCACAGATAGCGGCCAGCGTCTTCCTCGCGCACGCGCTGGATGCTCAGCTTCTGATTCGAGTCTGCCAGGTCAATTCCTGCAGAGTGGGGCGGATGTTTGAGTTCAGGTGGGTCTGCAGACTCTGGCCTCGCAAGCCTAGGTCCCGCCCTTCTCCCAGGGCCACCCCCTACCGGACTCTTCCTCCAGCAGCTGCTCGTCTTTGTACCACACAATGCTTGGCATGTGCGCGCCTGCTACCGGGCACCGCATCTCCAGGGAGTCGCTCACGTTCACGAGGAGGTCGCTTAAGTTCTGTGTGAGCCGTGGGGCTTCCAGGGCTGGGATAGAGGGAGAGAGGGAGCGCTGAGTGGCGGTGCAGAAAGCAGAAGGGTACCCTGGGGAGGGCGGGAACCTATCATAGGAAGCTAAAGAAAGGATCAGGTTTTTTGGCCACTGCCACGTGCTGCTTCCTATGGGAAGGGCTGCACACCTCGGCCTGGGGGGTGGGCTGGTTGTGGTGAGGGGATGATCCTGTAGGGTCAGGCTCACGAATGGCCGGAGCATGCTAGCCTGGGCTAGCCACGGTTCCTTGGGTAATGCTGCCCACCCTCCCGCTGGCCCTGCCTGCCTCACCCTGCACTGACAGGTACTTCTTGTGGCAATGCTTGTCTTGGCTGCGCCGGTCCTGCACCTCACACACGTAGTCACCTTCGTGCTCAGGTGCCACGTGGGGGATGGTCAGGCTGAGTGTGGCGTGGCGCACCCCAGGCGCTGCTTTCTCCAGGCTGCCTGCCAGTGGCGTGGCAAACAGATGCACATTCTTGCAGTCGAGCAGCAGTGGATTCCCATGAGCATCGTGCAAGGTGGACAAGTTGAGGCGGTACCAACGCAGGTGTTCATAAGTGTAGTTGTCTGCCAGGCAACTCAAGCGCACAGTCTGGCCCTCCAGGGGCTCCTCCGAAGGCTCCGATTCAATGCTGAAGCCATCAGGGATGGCTGGAGAAGCAGAAGGAACGCTGTGCCAGGGGTTGGTTATTTACCTGAATGCCCAGGTACTCTCTCCCTCCCCCAACAGCCTTAGGACTCATCCAGCTCTCAACCGAGGGTGTGCAGCCTGTGAATCTGGGCCAGGGACAATATCTCTAGACCAGCTCACTGAAGTGGGGTGTGGGGTGAGGAGGGAGGGGGGTCTTGCTCAAGCACCAATTAGGCTACTACCCCTGTCTTTACCAGGAGTCTAGATCACTGACTTTTCCGGGGCCTGAGTTGCCATCCTCCCTGGCTGCTGACCACAACCCACCGCTTTCCTCTCCTTTATGCAGTCTTACTGTTTCATTAGCTTCGGTAATGCCTGGCTCCAAATTTCCTTTTTTCCCTCTGGCTACTACTTATCAGGTTTTTGTGACCTCTTTTCTCCCTAACCCTCCATGGTATTCTCGCTGGCTCCATCTTTTTTCCAGGTGCTGTTGTCTGCACCCCTGAATCCAGACCTATCCTTTTGTGACCTGCTTAGTTCTCTTAGGGTAAGTAACACATTTGAAAATTGGAGGATACCATGGATCCTCTCCCCAGGGCAGAGCACACATGTGAGTGAACCACCTCACAGGATCCAGGGCTTGGGGAAGGAGTGGGAGATAAAGCTAGGTGGGGCTGTGGGGAGGAAGAGGGCACCCCTGGGCTTGGTGCCCCCAGGGCTGGGGGCAGAGGATGCCATACCAGTGTATGGGCCAGCACCCCTGTCCATGTGCCAGTGACACCCAGATCTGTTCCTCCTGCCTAGATCCATCTCTGCCCCATGGTGACCAGAAACTCCTCCTCCTCCTCAGGGATGCTTACCTCCTGTGCCCTCCTGTTCCTCACCTCCACCCAGGCCTGCCCAAGCCACTCACTGGTCACGTAGAAGTAGATGAGTCGCTCATCCTGGCCCACTTTGTTGAAGACCACACACTTGTACATGGCGGACACATTGGCATCCTGGATCACCAGCTTGCTCACGGTCTAGACAGGACACAGGCATGAGGCTCCATTCCTTGACCCTTTCTGCAAGGAAGCCTTTGTGCCCACCAGAGTGATGGGGAGCTGAGGCCCTGCCTAGAGATGACCAAAGCTGAGAGACAGGAGCAGGAATGGTGAGGCAGGGAGGAGAAGGCGAGGCTCTTGGGCAGCCAAGTGAGGTGGCTCCCCGAAAAGTCAAGGGACAGCACTATGAACAGCTGGTCTTGGTTGTGGCTGAAGTCAGAGGGCGACATGAGGCAGGATCAGACAGACCTCTGGCTGTGGGTGGGCTCAGGCTGTGGCCATATTAAGGAGGGGACAGGGACCTGGTGGCTCTGGGTCAGTCCAAGCCAGGGTTAGGGTTCAAGTCATGGTCATATCGTGGGTCAGGTGTGGCCCGAGGCCAGTATCCAATCACTGTATAGATCCTTGTGATGTGCCCACATTTGCCCCAGGGCTGCCCATAACACCTTTCCCAGTGCCCTGGGTGGGGGTGAGGTGGGGGCTGGGTCCCTGGCTTCCATAAGGACTCTGACCTGGGGGAGTAGGAAACTGGGAAGCAGAGGAGGAGGGAGGGCTATAGGCCCTGCCTACCATCCAAAGACCCACCCCCCACCCCAAGCTGGGCACTTCCTGGCCAGGCCTGGAACAGGAAGAGGCTCTGGAGGTGTGTAAGAAAACAGGAAGTGACTGTAGGAAGTGGGTGCCTTTGTTTCATCCCCCTCCCCCTCCTGGTCTCTTCTAGGCATTGCCCCCAGGCAGGGCCAGCAGCTCAGCAGCCTTTCCAGGGTATCTGACTGGCCCTAACCCCCTATCCCCTCCAGCCCTAGGGCCTATGGGAAGCTGGGGTTCATGGCTTGGTCAGGTGGCCTTGAACCTCAGCTTCCCTGACTGGGAAGCAGGGGAATCTGGCCCCCTTCCCTGCAGGCAGGATTGCTGAGGCCCAGAGACATGCTGGAAAGGCCACCAACTCTCAGCAGCTACCTCTAGAGCACTGTGGGCCTGGTGGAAACCCAGACAAGCCTGCTCCCTTCTCCTCTGGCCTCAGCAGCTTGGCTGAACTGTACCTTATTCTTTCCCTCCACGAACTCGGTCCAGGTGTCCAAGCTCTCGATGGGATTCACAGCGTCATGCACCGTCACCTCCCTCCAGTCCCGGCACTGTGGCATTCGGTCTCGCTGCTGCCTCCGGCTGCTGGGACAAGGAGGACAAGTGCAGGTCAGGGATACGGGCGGGAGGGTCCAGTTTGTCATGGACCCAGCCCACTACGAAGGGTCATCATCTCAGATGCTGGGGGGTAAGGGAGGGAGAGAGTAAGGGGGGTAGAGGCTTTGCGACGATGTCCCCCACTCTCTGTGCTCAGGGCTGCAAGCAGTCCTGTGAGGCAGACACAGCCTTCCCTGGTGTAAACGAGGTCTGCTGCCCACAGAACACTGGTGGCTCTGGGGCCACCTCCAGCCTGCTGTGTCCGCCCCCCACTAGCACGTGCCCCTTCATACAGAGTCCATCCAGGTGGCCCAAGGGTGGCCAATTCAACACTCCTGCTCCAGGAATCCTCCTTCCCTCCCTGCCCCCTTCCAGAACTGAAGCCCCTCCCTGGCCAGATACCTTTGTTCTCCCACCGGGATATGGGTGACCCTGGGGGGAGCAGAGTGGCCCCTAGGACATGTCGGTTGGTGCCCAGCATAATGGTAGAGCATCAGAGGGAAGCAAATTTGGAGATGCCTCATGGTCTATAAGAATCTCTTAGGAAACTTGGGTGTTGTGGGCAGGGTCAGCCCCACAGCCCCCTCTGAGCCTCTCCCACTGATCACACAGGGGCCACAGCCTCTCTGCAGTGCGGCTGCCCTGTCTCCTTCAGTTTCAAGCCTGTGATTCTCCACCCTGCCACCAGGACCTGTTGCTAAATGGCAAACGTGACCCGCCACTCTCCCGCTTAGTGCATTTCACTGACTCCCCAGCTTTCCTGAAGGCTGACCATCATGTGCCCTTCTCCCCTGGCCCTGCTTGCGCAAGATGGCGCTGCTCTGAGCCTCCTCCCTGGCTGGCTCAGGGGAGGGGCGTGCCGCTGGACAGGCTCTGCCACTTACAGCTCTGACCTTGGGAAAGTCTCATGTCTTTTCTGACCTTGACTTTCCTCCTCTATAAAGGGTCATTATAAGTGCCACACAGATGAGCTAACATGCATTGGGCCTGCTGGCTGGATGCTGTGGGGAGTCCTGTGAAACTAGCCCAGGTTTGCCTGCTTGGTGGGAGTCCTTGGTACCCAGAGTCATGTCCCTTGGTCCTCTCCGGATGAAACAATCATGTCAAAGTCAGGGCGTTGCCCTTGAGGGAAATGTCTAGCTCACCTGATTGATACAAGGGGGGAGTGTGAGCTTTGCTCAGAGTGGTGAGGTCAGGGATTGGCTACGGTCGAATTGTGGTTGGGTGGAGTTGAGAGCCAGGGTCGCGGGAGGAACATAAGACTCTTGGGGGTCATGGCCGAGGTTGGGGACAGGGTTGGGAAGTAGGAGAGGGCAGGCTGGAGCCATACTTACAGGCTGCGTTGGGTGAAGGTCTTGCAGGGTGTCCATGGCCTCCAATGCCACTGGACGTTGAGAGGAGGGGGCACCCCATAGGCAGTGCAGGTGAGGGCCTGGCGACTGTGGCGGGAGTAGATGCTGGGAGAGGAGGCCTCCTTCTCATGGATGTGGGGGGGTACTGGGACACAGGCAGAGAGTAGGTCAGCAGGCCCCTGGTACCACACCTGCTGCCATGTGCTGTCCCCTCTCCCAGGTGGCTCAGCCTTACCGTTGACCACCAGCTCCAGGCTGATGTTGCACCTCAGGCCAGCTGCAGAGTTCCACAGGGCGAGGGTGTAGATGCCTGCACTGGCCTCCGTTACCTCCTTGAGCACCAGGGCATGCGGACTGTGGCGCCCAGATACTGCCTTCCTGTCTTTGTACCTGGTCCAGGAGGGGGTTTCAGGGGGCTGTGTGGACCCTGCCCCAGCAATCCTTTCCTGCCCCACCCCAATCTCTACAACCAGAATATAGTGGCAGGGGGCAGAAGGAAGCCAAGTGCCCAGTTCTGATGGCCAGAGCAGCAGCCTCTCCTGGACCAGGTTGGAAGGCTACTGGGGAGGGTTCTGGGGTGCAGAGTGGCTCACTCTGGTCTGGAGAACACATCGCCTAAAGACTATGGGGGTGGTCTTCAGCCTCCATCTGCCATGTCTCACATCTGCAGGCCCTGGCACAGCTCGAGGCTGTAGCAGCACATGTGCCTTCCCCCAAAGCAGGGAGTTATTATTCCATGAGGCCTCTTCTCTCTGGCCTGCTTATGGCCAGACCAGCAGGTTTGAGGCCCAGCTTAGGGGGATCCTGCCCACCTCCTGGTTTCTGGATCTCTGCCTCCTCTAGCCCAGCTGAGCTTCAGCTTCCAGGACCAACTGCAGTGCCCAGTGGGCCCTGTCTCCTTGTCAAAGGCTTTCGTGGTGTGTGCCATGATGTAGATCCCAAAGAGCACAGTCCATATTTAACAATTAGGGGTCCTGACTGCCCTTAACTGCCCTTCCTGGAGTTCTCTGGATGTGGGGCCTCCTTACTGTGTCCCCTGACTTGGATGCTCAGGGCTCTAGACACTTGCCTGTCTCCTTTCCTTTTACATTCACTCAAATATCCCCTCCTCAGGCAGAGAAGTCTCCACCATTCTGTGCGCCTGCCCTCTGGCCTGTCTGCCCAACTGCTCATCGGCACACTGGCTCTCACACATGTGTCTGTTGACTGTCTGCCTTCCCCACAGACCTGTGCGGGTCGTCCCCTACTGCCACACTCCCAGATGTTGGGCAGCACCTGGCACATGTCGGGGCTCAACACAAGTTTGCTGATGTGTGAAAGAAGGGATGCTCCACACCCTGAAAGGCAGGTCCTGTACAGTCCTGAGCTGGGGGTCCTGGATTCTACCTGGAAACCCTCCTTCAGGCAGGTGCCTACCCAGAGAGGTGCTGGGAGAGGCCCAGCCTTGTGGCGGAGGGCAGCGGCCAGCAGTGAGGCAGGTGTTCTTAGCTGAGATGCCACAGCTCAGGCCTGGAATGAAGGACCGACCCCCCTAGGCCATACAGAACGACAGGGCAGGACCAAGTCCCAGAGGCCCTGCCACAGGATCTGGATCTGCTGCCTGCCATCTCTTGATCCTAGGCAACACCCTTCACTGCCTGGAGCCCAGAATCCCGCTCTGAGAACTGGGGCAGTGAGGTGCATCTTCTGCAGAGGTGTGCGGGCTGAGAGCTGGCAGTTAGCACTGGCAACATGCTGGGCACACAGCCTGTCAGCACTCGCCCTCCATCTGCTCCCTCACTCCTCGTATGTCATCAGTGATGACCCAGAAGAGTGCACCTGGGGAGCTTGGCGACTACTGACTCCTGGGGCAGGTGACTCGGACAGTGGGCCCTGCTGAGCATTTCTTGGAGGCAGGTATTGGCCAGGTGAGAGGAGAAAGGCCTGATGGGGTGGGACGGTGAGAGGCAGCCTGGACCAGATGTTGGATCGGCAGAGCCCCCTGTTCAGAGCAGGGCCTGTCCTGCTGGCCTCAAGGGCAGGGGCAGAGCCTTGGGTGGGCGGAGGCTGCAGGCTGCCTCAGTGCTCTGCAGGACTGCCCCACAGGTCCTGCAGCAGGTGCCCCCGACGGGCCCCAAAGCCCATGGCCTCAGAGGGAGGGTCGCACAGGCCAGGACTGTATGAGAAGAGATGCCTACTCCAGGCTCCAGTCAGTGTGGTATGAGCCCAGCTGAGAATGTCTGAGGCTGCTGCATGCCCAGCTCTGGCTTTTAGGGAAGGTTGTACTGTCTGGAGGGAGGTGCCCCAGTTGGTCTGGCCAACTGGGAAAGAGCAGAGAGTTCCAGGATGCTGGGAGCTCAGGTAGGAATGCCCTTTCCTTTCTAGGTTTCTGTGTCCTTGTTGTACAGTGGGGGTCAGGGGTCAGAGCTGTGATCTCCCTTCCTCCCATGGTTGGGTCAAATGGACTGTTCAGGTGGCCTGAGGGTGTGTATATGCAGGTGCTGTGACTTTCCCAGCTCTGGGAGCACCCAGCAAGGATGGAGCCACACTGAGGGACCCCACACTGAACCCTGGCATGCCATGCAGGGGAGGCCTCACTCTCAGGTCACAGAAAAGACTGTGGGGCCTTGGGAGCGCTTCCTTTGCCACACAGCTCAGGCACAGCCCAGGCCTGGCTCTGAGACAGTCTCTGCAACTCCTTGACATCTCCAGTTTTTTAGATAGGAGGGTCTTGGGATGCAACCTGTTGGGAGGGAAGCTTGGGAAGCCTGGAACTGTTGCTGGGGCATGGACCAGACCTCTGAGATGCCCTCTAGCTTGCAGGGCCCTGAGATACTGGGCAGGGGCAGGAAAGAGATAAAGGCCAGCACTATGCCTACCACACCCATACATAATAGGAGCCAGTGTTTACAAGTGTTCACAGTTTAGCACCAACCCAGGCCAACCTCTCTGGCTAAAATGTTCCATTCTGTGCACCTTCCTTAGAGTGTCTTCAGCAGCAGCCTCACTGGGGGCTCAGGGCATAGTACCCGCTGGGGAAGGATGGGTCTCATCCAGATTGCCGGGTACAGACCCTGATGGGGAGGGACACTGCCCTTCCTGCCCCGTGGTCTGTTCTCATGCTGGGCCTGCTGGGTGGGGAGTGAGGGCTGGTACCATTGGAACTCCGGTGGTGGGTATGCTGCCAGCTTCACAGGCAGCTTCACCAGCTCATCTCCAGCTGTGGCCTCCAGGACAGGACCCTTGAGCCACTCAACGCTGATGAAGGGCTTTTCTGCCAGATGGAAGGAAATCAGCTTAAAGTGGGACCTGGTGTCACCGACTCACCACTGCCCAGTAATTCCCAGCCATGACCTCTACACCCCCAGGGTTCAGATGCTTGCAAACTGTGGGAACTGGGGGACTGCCCACTCTGGCTAGACTCCCAGAAGAGCAGTGTATACTGTTGGGGTGTACCATGACCTCTGACCCCAGGACACCCCCCCCCCCGGCCACTGCCCAGGCTTGGAGTGGAAATGACCCAGCCCAGGCCATATTGATCACAATGACCCTTTCCCTGGCCATACCATGTACAATGACCTCAGTGCTCTCTCGAAACCGCTGGATGCCGTTGTTGGCCTCACACACATAGGGGCCCAGGTCGTGCTGGCTGACGTTGTAGATGGTCAGGATGCTGGAGAGCTCTGTGTGAGTCTGCTGGGAGCGCCGCTCCGGCACCCACTTACCCCGCTCTGCCTGCCCGTGCCCAGGGGAAGCCCAGGGTCAGAGCATGCAGGCTCTGGCAGAACTGGCCACCAAAGGCACACACCCCAGCCCAGCCTGCAGAGATTCCCGAAGCCCTGGACGCAGGTCCAGAGTGTCCTTGGGGTAGGAAAACTTCCCCATCAGACCTAGACTCTTGGGACAGGACTGGAACTACAGCACCTCTAGAGGATGGAGTACACTGGGCGAGGGTGGGGGACAGTGATGGGGACTCCGCAGGATGGTGCGGGTAGTGGCAGGGGCTCCAGGGGAAGGCGCGGGCAAGACTCCTGGCTGGGCTGCTGACCTCACCTGTTTCCCTGGATAGTCCCAGTCGAAGGTGACGCCCGAGTTGAACTCAGCCCACACCGTGCAGTTCAGGACCAGCTTCTCCCCAACCAGTAGCTCCAGTGACTTCTTGGGGAACAGCTGGATGTCATAGAGCTCATTGCCTGGTGACACACACACAATGATCCCCATGCCCCTCACAGTACAATGCACACAGAGTGCAGGGTACAGGTGCCCGAGAACCAGCTGTGGCATCTAGAGCCCCAGTGCCGGCCACTGGTGGGTTCCATCCTCCCCGCAGTCCTCCTCCCAGGACTGGGGTGCGGTCCCTGGGCGGGGAAACTCCTGCCCTGGGTGGTCCCTACCTGTGATGTGAACAAGGAAGGGGTTGGATAGGAAAGTCTGGTCGCCCCAGGTGGTCTCGCACTGCAGGTACAGGGCGTCACGCAGCAGTGGCGTGGGCACGCGCATGCCCCGGCGGTCATCCCACACCACCTCCTGCCCATCAGGCTGCAGTGCTGAGCTTTGCTGCAGGGACATGGAGGCTATCAGTGCCTGGCTGCCCATTCCTCCTGGCCAGGCCAGCAGCCACCTTTCCCAGGGTGGGGACGGAAGGGCTGAAGCCCAGGGTAGGGGGCAGGTGGGGTTTTACCGAGCGCAGGGTGACGTTGAGTCCCGGGATGGACACCCGGCAGGGCACCCACATAGAGTCCTTCCTGTTGACCAGCAGTGTGCCCGGCTTGTTGATGAATGGCTGCTCCAAGTCTGAGGAGAAGGGGTAAGGAGTGGGAGGGGAAGTGGGGCTAAGGGGTTCTCTGCCCAATTTTGGGGCAACCCCATGGGGTCTACAGGGGTGCAGGTTCCAGCCTCCCCTCCAGGCCCCTGGCTCCTGGCTATGACACTGGACTGGCTGTGGGAGCAGGTGGGTGAACCTTCTCACCTCTCACAAACACGTAAGTGCTGGCAGCTGTGGTGCCTTCGATGCGGGCCTTGATGTACTTATAGTAACAGAGGTAGCTGCCTGTGTTATTGGCGTGGGCCTCACGGAGCAGCAGCACCTTGCAGTAGGGCCTGGCGTCCGTGCCTTCACAGTCCTGTACAACCCCGGTGTCCTCGTGGTCCTTTTCTCCAGTGGCTGGCACCTCCTGAGCCCCTGGCCAGGCCCACTCAAGTGGGTGCTGACCCCTGGAGATCAAGAGGGATCCTGGTTGCAGTCGCTGAGGACAGTCCTTGTGGCACCTCCTTGGGGCCCTGGCCCTGCCCATAACATTTCACTTAGAGGCCAGGACAGCTTAACACTCAGGCTCAGGCATAGACCCACGCCAGGGCAGAATACTGTCTGAGCACCCTGGGACCTCTGCTTGGCTCCTATGCCTGCGTGTGGCAGCTTGCAGAGATGCCTGGGCCTCAGACCATAGTTGGTGGGGCAGGGAGGGTAACAGGGCTGGGGGCTGTGTGGGTGGCTGGAGGTAAGTGAGGAGACCTGGGATCTATGCGGGTGAACCGGGGAGGCCTGAGGTCAGTGTGGAGAGAATAAGGGTGGTTACGAGGTGGCTGATATGTGGCCCATGTGAAATGATGAGGACTGACTATGGGTGGGGTGGGGGTGGGTGCCTGTGTCTGCAGAGTAGGGATTGGTCTGTGCCTTAGGCACCTACATCCCAGCTCCCTGGGAACTCCACTAAACCTTGAAGTCTTGAGGCCTTGGGGAGAGGCTGCCTTCTGGGTTCCTGCCATCACCTCCTCCCTAGGCCTTCTCCAGTCTCGTTAGCCTGCTTGGGAGGAGAGACCCAGGCCACTGCTCGCCTGGCCAGGGGCTGAGTACCTGCAGGAGATGGACAGGCTGTCACTGGAATTGATGATGTGTGTCTCTTCCGTGATGTTCAGAGTTGGGGGGGTCATGGAGTAACCACTGGCCAGGCCTGGGGTGGAAGACAGGGTTAGGGTGGCCCTGGGTCATGAGTTCACAGGATGACATAGATCCTTCTCCAGGGCAGGGGGTACCCCAGCTTTTGGCCCTGAGCAGCACCTACAAGGCCCAAGACAACCAGTAACCTCCACCACTGGTTGCCTTCTGCTCACTGACCAGACCCAGTGAGTACTGACCGACACCTGAGCTGAACTCTGACCTCTGGCGCCACATGAGTAGAGCTGCCGGCATGAAACTGGGAGGGGAGACCCCTGGCCTCATCCTATACTGGGGGAGGCCTGAAGCACGTCACCTTGGCATTGGGAACTCTGCCTGTCTGCCCAAAGGCCTCTTCCTCCTAAATTACAGACCCACAACCATACTTGAGGAGTTCCTGCAGAGTGCACACCCTCCCCAAATATACCCACAGCCAAGGGCCTCAGAGCCCCCCTGAAATTCTGTCCTTGACCATGCCCTCTCTCAGGTCCCGTGGAGTCCACCTCATGTGTCCTTAGCTCCATAAGATTTTGCCCACATTCACATTCCCTCTGGTGCCCAGTTCCTCCTTGTCTCCCTGTCTCAGACCCCCATTCTTTCTACAGGGCTCTTCCCCAAACACACAATTCTGCCTCACCTGGTTGAAAAACTTTTTTCTTATGGCTTGCAGGACCCCAGCCTGCTGCCTCACCCACCATCCTCCTCCCAGGGGATGGAGCTGGAGTGCGCACCTCACCGGGGAACCCTGTGTGTGTGTCTGTACCTGTGGACGGGAGTCTGTGTATTTGCGCGGTGGGTCTGTAATTGGCATGTGTAGCTTTGTGTGCTCTTGCCTGTGTGTGTTTGACGTGTCAGCATGTGCACACATATGGATGTGGGTGTGGGGGGAACCTGGTGGGGCAGAACAGGTCATGAAGGAGGCGTGGACCTGAGCCCTGGCAGATGCATCCTGCCAGGATCATGCTGAGACAACAGGAAGAGAGGACTGTGTGGCCAGGGGTCCAGGGCTGCGTCCTTTCCCTCCCCCATGTCCCTGTCCTCCTGGGGGACACAGTCCACTATCCTGCCCTGGCCCCCAGTCCCTTTGAATCCCATAGGTCAAACTCTGCCCTCCCCAGCCCAGCTTTCTGAGGTCTGGGGTCTTGCCCTGGCAGCTAAGGGTAAGGGGCAGAGCTTGGGGGTGCCTCCTGACCCCAAGCTGCTCTAGGACGCAACACCAGGGTGGCATGCTCCACATACCCAAGACCTCCAGCCAGGGCCCCTGCCTCTCCATTTAGGCACTAGAACACTGTGGGGCAGAGCTGGAAGGCCCACACCAAGCATCTAGTCCCACTGTACAGACAGGGAAACTGAGGACCCCCACCGAGACTGAACCATTACCCTCAGAAAATAGCTTCTTGCCTGGCCGCTGTGACCACTGCAGAGTCCTTCCTGAGCCTCAACCCAGTGTAACCGCTCTTGGCACTGTGTTGGGACCTGAAGGCAGGAAGGTGGTCTAGAATCTGCTCCATATGGACTCTGTTTGCAGGTCCTTCCTAGGTGGGTGTTGGCCCTCTATGCATGCCGGTCCCCCACTACAGATCCCAGGGCTGCTGGGGAGGTGAGCCCCGCAGTGGGGAGGAGGTGGTGAGCGGCTGGGAAGGAATCTGAGCTGGGTCTTGAAGGAGTAGGAAGTTCCAGGCAGTGGAAGATGAATAAGGCCACGTCAGGCATACAGCTGGCTTCTGAGCCACAGAAGGAGGCAGATAACGGGCTTGGGTTTGCAGGGAGTGGAAGAACTGGTCCTTCCAATAGGCCCTTCAGGGGCTGAGGCTGCAGTGTGGGTACTGGAGGAGAGGTGTGGCATCCACCTACCCGGAGCTCATGCACGCTCCACAGTGAGGCCTGTGCTGCTCCCTGGGGAGGCCCCTTTGCTTCTAAGAGAAAACAGGATACTCTAGGCTTCTCACTCTGTCCATTTTCCTTATGTCCAGCTTTACCTCCTGATGCATCTCCAAGATATTGTCCCAAAGTAGGTTTTTCATGTGTTGAAGTCTTTGCTTTTGCTTATCTTTTTGCCAGGAACATTGTACGCTGTCCTCCCGAGGCGCTCCTCTCTAGCATCTAGTTCTCGTGCCCACTCCCTGGGGCACAGTCACCCTCACTCAGGCAGCAGGGCCTCCTGGGGCTCCTGTTGCTCAAGCACCCATTTTCTTGTCACATCTGAACAGAGGCTGTATTTTATTCATCCTTCTAAGCCCAGTACAGAGGCGATAACACCAAAGATCGGGGGATGGATTTGGAATAGTAGGGCAGATGACGATCAGATGAATACATAATGGATGTGGGTGGCTATTGGGAGGTGGGTGGGTAGATGGATGGATAGTTCAAGATGGATAGTGGATAGGTGGGCAGTGGGTGGGTGGATTGATGGGGGCAATGACAGGGGAGTGGGTGAATAGATGGGTGGGATGGGTGGGTGGAGGGGTAGGTAGGTGAGGGGTGGAAGGGGGTGGACATGTGGATGGAGACTGGGTGGGGGGCTGGGTGGTTGGATAGATGGATACTTGGGTGGATGGATGGTGGGCTGATAGTGGATGAGTGGGTGGGTGGGTAGGTGAATGGGGCAACAGAGCCTGCAGGAACATGCTCCCAAGAGGAGGCGCCTGCATAACTACTAATCGGGACCATCCGTCATACTCACCAACCCTGTCACCTACTGTGTGAGCCTCTCCTTTGTCGTCACACACCCTGGCTGGCCCAGTGCCCCTTTGTCTTCACTCACACTGGTCCTGTGTGATTAGCATTCAGTGGAGTCCTCACTGTTCTCCTTCATCCTTCCTGTCTTTACTTAAACATGGCTTTTTGAGGGCACCTCTGCCCCTGGGTAGTGCTGCCCTCACCACGTGCTTGGCAGCAGAGGGCTCCTATGGCATCTGCTCTCCCTGCAGCAGCACCTCCTCACCAGGAAAGCTGTCGCCAGTGGCTGGCTGTCACTCCCCTCGTTCTCTGCTCCCGGCTTTCCAGGCTCCTCCGACCCAAGTCATGCCACTCTCCATGACTTCAACACCCATGTGGGTGACTCACTGGTACCCTAGCCTTTACAGCCCTCCTCACTGTCCTCCCTCCTCTGTCCTCAGCACCTCACTTCCTGGGCACCCCCTGGACCGGGTCCTTAGCAGAAACGCGGCGTTACCTCATGCCCGTCTTCCCGCGCTTCTTCCTGCCTCCTGTAGATGCCCTGTCCTGGCACTGCTGGATTCTTCACCAAAACTCTGAGGCCAGGGGCCCCTCCTCTTCTGCACCTGCTCCTGGCCTCACCCCAGTGCCCAGGACCCATTATTCAGACTACTCCCTTGCCGCCCAGCCTTGCAGCAACAGCAGCACGTCTCAGGGGCAAAGCCGAAGCGCCACACTGCCGCATCCCCTATCTTGTTGGCATGACCCTAAAAGGGCCCTCGGCCGCAGCTCAGGGCATCCCCTTCTCCCTCCCCCTTGGCATGAATGAAGTGATGATGGACTGACGTCTCGTTTTCCTACATCCCAAGCCCTGTCCTTGACCTGGACCCTGGAAGCCCTCTGACGCTGCCACTCCCCAGGTCAGAGCCTTCATCCTGCCAGGAGCCCCTGGACCTGACCTTCGCGGGTCTATTCCTTTTTCCTCCCGACCCCTAGTCATCTCTGTGGAATAATGTCCCATTTTATAAACAAGCTCCCTCCCCCCAATTCCTTGTGATTCTCTTCACAGCTAAAGCTCTGCCTACTGTTCCCCTCATTCTCCCCCGGGGGTGCAGCCTCCCCTCTGCTTCATGGAGCCATAGGTCGGGGCATCCACCATGCTGCAGGACCTGTGGGCACTCAGGGTGGGGAGCAGAGCTCACCTCTCCTCCTCTGACACCTTCTATGAGCTTACACTCTCCTCGTTTCCTCCTGCCCAGCACCAATGCTATTTCTCTTCTCTCCATCATTCTCTCACCTAAGTTGCAGATGCCTCCAAAATCTCTTCTCTCTCTACCAGATCCTTCTCTCAACTCCAGCTGCCACCGCACCTGGCTCCCCACAGACACGCGAGGTCCCACATTTCCACTGCTAAACTCTGGACTCACAGTCTCCATCCCTGCCAAGGGCTCCTCCTGGGTAGCTCCCATATTCCTGAGGTGGGTGGCTGTGCTCACCCACTTCTCCCACAGTAGCCCTTTCAGTCACCACGGAAGCACCTAAGTGCCAGTCTCTACTCTCCAACTGGGGCTGGGACCGGCCCAACTGTACTAGCCGCTTGTCGTCCGCTGCGTCTGCTCTTGCTCTGCAGTCGCACACAGCTGCTAGTGACACTTTAACCTGCTCCTGCTTGAATCTCGTCAGGACTTCACTCGGTACTTTCAGGAAATTCCAAACTCCTGGTCTCTCTCACTTCTGCTTCATGTTCCTGTTCATGATGGTCTTTCAGCCACCGTGGCCTCCGGGCCGCCCGTCCATGTGTGTGCATTCCTACCCTGGGGCTTTGCACGCTCTCTTTTCCTGATTCATCTCCTCACATGTCCTGCACAGTCAGTTGCTTCTCAGCTTAGACATGACCTCCTCACTCCCCTAAAACCTAAATCACCCCTGAAGTTCCAGCCTAGCTTCCTAGTTGCTTGCTTTATCCTTGTCATAGTTTGTAATTTCCTTTCCATTTTCCCCACTAGGCATCAAGTTTTAATGGGGGTAAGGACCAAGCCAAGTCTTTTTTTCTTCACCACCCATGCCTAGTCCAGCACCCAAAAGACTCAAGGTTCAATAAATACTTGTTGAATGAGTAAATGGATGGACGGATAGATGGGTGGCTAGATGAAAGTAGGACAAATGGATAGAAGGATAGATGGATGGAAGCAAAGAGGGACAGAAGGATAGGTAGTAGAAACACGGACAGATTACACAAAGACACAGACGCATGCACGCGCGCGTGCGTGTGTGCGTGCGTGCGTGTGTGTGTGTGTGTGTAGATATGTGGCTTGGTAGATGGAGGGTGGGCAAGGGACAGACAAGATGGGTGAATGG